GTGAAGAACTGGATGGTTTTTACTTTGACGTGTCGTCACGTCCTTTCTCACGCTTGCGACAGCGTATCCCGGTCAGCGCGCGCTGGCTTTTTGAGCTGCGTCCAGCGGGATGGCGCGGTTGGGGTGCTGGCGTTTAGCGGGTTGTTAGAACACGCTCCAAGCTGGGCGTCGTCGTAGCGCTCGCGTACGGCGTGTGCCCCACGCCGGCCTGCTCTGCGTGTCGTCGGTGTTCAGGCGCGCGGGCCTAGAGTTGCTTAAAAGTGTTGACAGGACCCTGTTAAGCTCGTCACTTCCGTTGTTTTCTCCCTTACGGGCCCTGCATATATGTCTAGCTTTGCGAGCCACCCAGAGTACTACTACTGTAGCTAATGAAGATTATTATTGTTTGCCTTAATGGCGTTTTACTTTACCCCGGTCATATTCGTGACTTCTAGAACCCGGGGGTGCACACATACTTTACATGGCTGAGGAAAGAGGTTATATGTAAGCACTGATAGAGTGCAGGCGAGCTGGTAATTATTCGACATCTTGTAAACCCTAAGATGTTTGTTCGTTTTTTTAGCATTCCCCATATCAGAGTTTACAAGATATAGGTTATACGATTTGATTAAAATGCTCAAGAAAGTTGCCGTGTAAAAATTGCACACCTGGCAGGTGCTTTCGCTTGTATAGTGGACAGCTCGCAATGAAAACTCGCACGGCTGTCCCTTTTCGCACTTCGAAAACGGAAGCTTTGCCATGGTCAGCACATTAACATTCTGTGGTGCTTAGCTGGTGGGGGCAGTAATGTAGGAAGGGGGAGGGGGGCGGCAAGCAAACAATTTTCAAGATGCAATTGCTTCCCCCCCCCCCCCCGCACACACACACAGATGTTCAAAACTTCCGCTGCTGCCGCACCCAAAACAGCCATGACATCTATCGTCTACTTATAAACGTGCACATCATTCTATTAAAAAAAAAAAAAAAATCTACAGTAACAAATGGCCGGGGACCAGTGGCGTACCAACTTGTTTTTGAGTGAGGGGGCAAACGACACCCCCCCCCCCCCCCCCCGAGCCGGGGGGGCGGTGCCCTTGGTATCCCTTCGGCGCCGCCGGCCAGTGTTTGCCCTGCCCAGTGACGGCTGTTTAAGGGGGGGGGGGGGCTGCAAAACACATTCCTTGCCCCCACGGTTGGTACGCCCATGGCAGGGGCTTTTCAAGCATTCCCTCATCTAGTAGTGTTGAAAATGTTCAGAAGACGTGTATAGTCTTGTGCTGAGGTCATGGGGGCAGTGGCATAGGAAAGGGGGGTTCTTTTTTTTAATAATATTGTTTACTGGAAATGACTGATTTTCCTGCAGCCCCCCCCCCCCCCCCTTTTCCTATGCCACTGCCCCCATCACCTAAGCACAAGACAATACACGTTAGAAATTGCACGCTGCTCTAGTTTCTTTTTTTTCTTTCGTCAATAAAAATATTTAACCCTACAAAAAAAAATTATCGCCAAGACTTCTTTTCTCTCCTTTTTTTGGGGGGGGGGGGGGGTGATGTGTTTGGGATTCTCTAAGTTTTGGAGTGGGTACAAGATACCCCCCCTTTCCCCTAACCCCTCCCTCCCCCTGCGACATACACATACATTGATCGCCTGTGTCCGATCCCCGTGGCGTGAGTACCGTTTAATCTGAAGTGCACCACCCAATGCTAATTAATTTTGTTTTAATAGAAGCAAAAACATTTGCATGAAATTATTATAATTCTGAAACCAGAACCACCAATATTTTTATAAACTCGTCGAGGCTCAAAGCCAGTGTCATTCACAACACAAAGTTGAGAACTTCTAAACCACTCTGTTCAGAGCGCGACAAAATCGCACCACACGCGAAGTGCAGATAAATAAAATCCAACACATTCAACGGCTTCGTGCCAACGCCTTCGTACCCTAATCTCCTAGTACCCCCGTACAGCGTCCTCGCCTCCGCACGCAATCCGCACTCACACTAGAGTCTACTCTCACACTTTGAGTGCAGATAAGAATCCAACGCAATCCGCACTTTGAGTGCGGATTAGAATCCAAAATTATTCACACTCGGAGTGCGGATTAGAATCCACCACAATCCACACTCGGTGTGCGAATAGGGACAGCCATAAGCCAACTCCCACACCTGCCAGGCACTCTCGCTTGTACAGTGGAGACACATTCCAATCAAGGAGATCCAGCTTTGAATGTGAAGGCTTCCTACTTCAACTTTTAAATACTTGAGGTTCTGTTAAAGTTGAAGGGAGTCTCTTAAAGCATTTTTGGAACCATGTTCAAAACCCAGTGCTGGGTACAATTTTAGTCTAAAAGGCTGGTCCACACTGTTGCTACCCGCTAGGACTGAGTCTGACAAAACCAGTCTTCAAGCCTCTTGTGACAGCTTATGATCGTGCTGCGCAGCAGCAATGTTATTCGTAAGCAACTTAAAACCCTGTTTTGTTCAACTTGGTCATAGTCGGTTGCAACAGTGTGAACCAGCTTTAACACCTTAGGTGAATGTAATCAACAGTAGCTTCAGGATAAACTTGCGCATTGTACTACCCCAAAGTATTTTGACAACATCTCCGGTGTTGATTCTTGATTTCTATCCCAGCACTACAGAACACGTCAAAAGGCTTGTTGATTGTTGTGCATGTGCCTATCAAGCGAGCTGTGCTATTTCTAGGTGGTGTTTAACTTGTTTTGAAGTTCCCGGGATCTTTTAAGGCACCGGTAGGTATCTAAGCTCCACATGCACACTGTTCTTAATACAATTACTTCATGCAGAAGTTAATTTTTCTTATTTGGTTGAGTTTAATGGTGGTGTCGTCATGGTCTTTGCACTGTCGACGACAAGAGAAGCGTCATGTTGCACTTGTTCTTTTGTTGATCCGTGAAGCAAGTTCTGGTTTCTTTTTTGTTCCAGATTGTCAGTCTGAGTCTTATTCATGATGTTGCAGGAAGTCTGTATGATGACGAAAAAACTGCAGGTGACTAGAAGCTGCCAATGAGCTGCCAGTCCGGATGGCAGCTATCAACACGGCAAGGGCCTGCAGGCGCATCAGCCCCCCCCCCCTGTTCCTCTACTGCCATTGGAGACAGGATGCTTTGTAAAAGGTGAAACAGGGCCCTTGCACTGCTTCCACAGCGCCCTGCTGGATTTATCTCACATTTTGATTTTCAAAACAAACAACATTACAAACTGTAAAATACCGAACAAAGGCCCACTCTAAATTGGAGATAATCATAGAGAGCTGGGGGTTGAGCACTTTGTAGGTACGATAGTTGGTAAGTGTTCATGGTACCTTGCTTGGTCTGTGCACGGAATTACGAATAGCTGCATTTGCGGAGCTAGTTAATTATGCAAACACACAAAAAAAAAAAGCGTGACCTTTTTTTTTTTCTTTTTTTACAAAGAAGCATTCTGAAAAGTGTTCGATTAGCATTGGCTGTTACTAAAGCCTTCAATTTACTCTTCTGAGTTAGAACAAAAGAGCAACCCATCTTTTCTTGTACACCACTTTCTGTGTCAATAAAAAGAAAGCTAAAGGGGGGGGGCCGGCAGGTGCAAATGGCTCTGTGTTAGCGCACCACATAGTTCTGAAGTTCTTTTGGTCTCGGTTTGAGTTTGGGTTTTGGCATGTCAACCACGCAGTTGCTAGAGTGCATCTTTTTTGTACGAGGATTGCAGTTGAGGGAGTTGAATTGGGATTGCCGAGCATGGCAGGCACATTCACATCTCTTTACTTTCGGGTTACCCTGCACTGCCCGAAGGCATTATTGCAGGGGGGGTGAGGGGAGGGGAGGTATGTAGTCAGTCGTGAAGGTAGAAATACGCCCGTGCATATGTACCAAAAAAAATAAATGCAGGCACACAGGTAAACACATTCAAAAACAAAAGCGAGCCCAGAATAAGATAAAAGCCACATTGGTTGCTCACATTCTATAGTCGGTGACAGGTCAATAAGGAAGTGGAAGCTGCTCCCACCTTTTTCCACTCTAGCAGACTGAACCCTGGAGAGGAGGCACCCTCCTTTCCAGCGTTTGCTCTGCTAAAGGGGAAAGAGGTGGGAGGAGCTTTCACTTCATTCTTGACCTGTCACCGACTATAGGTACCTGCCAACGTTCCATGTTTTTGGACGTAAGCCAACACTTTGACCAGTAGGATGAATTGGGCTGTTGTATATTGGGTGTATCAAGGAGCGGCCAGGCTCTTTAAATCGACTGCAAAATTCGGTTTCTTAACCTATCGCACTACGACTTTGTGCAGCGTTGCTCAGGGATGGTGCATTTTTTTTGTAAAATTGCAAAGAGCAAGCTTACTTGAGGAAAAAGTAAAGAAAGAAAAAGGCTTAGCTCCTATGGAAATGCGATGAAGCCAAAGGTCTTTAAACAATATGCCACCGTTTCACTAGAGAGACAAAAGATGGCACAAGGGGTCATGACGCCAACTGCGCCAACGTACGAGCATACGGCGCCGAAAGCTGGCGTCTTTAGCAGGCAATCTTTTCGACTCAAAAGTGGCACGAGCTTTTCTGATACCAGTTGCCAATGCATTATTTTATTATCCTTACTGATAAAACATATTGAATGGACACATAACCGATTAGAAAAGTGGTTTGTTGGGATATTTTGACTGTTTTTTTCGGAGTACCGATGTCATCTGCTTTGCAGTTCCCTGTTGTTACCGCGCCTGTTTTTGTTTCTGCGACTGTCGCCGCCTGCGGAATGCACTCTACTTTACATGTTTGATCCATTTATTTTGTTCCTTGGTTCGTTAATGACTTGAATGTCTTCTAGTCAGAGCAACGAAATTGAGCGAGTTCAGAAGCGCCTGGCACGAACAGCTTATGACAGATACTTTCAACATTGTTAATATAATTATGAATCACTTGTGAACTATTTCGGCTTAAATCGTACCATTCGTGATGTGCGTTTTTACATAAAGTAACTTCTGGCCGGACTGATAGCAATCACTCTTATCATCCCTGAACTTTCACGTACCGACGCGAAGTAGTAGAGTGATTTTACCATTTTACCCTAATACCCCATATGATTCCTCACCCATGTCTAGAATTACGCACTTGTATAATAAACTTCATGATGTGGATCTGAACATATATGCACATACATAATTCCTTATCAACGCTAAAAAGATTGTAACCTCTATATATACTTTGTTTGTTTTTTAGTGCTGGGCTTTGTTTCGCTTTTAGCATGCCATATACTCATTCTACAGACCTCTGATGTTCCTGTATTTTGTTTGCTCACTTAGCTGCGTTTTTAAGGTGACGATTACTTTTGTTCATGTTGCTGTGTTTTCTGTTTGTTTGTTTTTTTAGTGTGAAGCTAATTTTTTGTTTATAGTGTACCAATAACAAGGTCTTTGCAGCTGTTTTTGGACACTAGCACAAAATAAAGTATTATTATTATTATTATTTCTAGAAATGTGCCGCTCCAAATAATTAAAACAACCCTCACTGTGAAACATGCCAACAGCAACATGACAAGAAATTTCAATAAATTGTATTAAATTGTAAATCGTCTTCATGTATTATACAGGGTGTCATCTAATCTGGAAAACCTGGGATTGTCAGGGAATTTTGAACCATATGGAAAAGTCAAGGAAGTTTTAGTAAAGAGCTAAATCAGGGAAAATGGCACATGGAAGTGGTATGGCGGTGTGCAACGAAACCCAACTGTCGTGCAGCAGCGTGTCTGCACTGAGTAATGTTGCCAGAAATGTCACTAGGCAGACCAGGCAACCATCCATTAAAAGGGATGAGCCACTTGGGCTCCATAATTTAGCAACTATGGCGAGCATAGGACCAATAGCAGGTCAGAGTTCTTCGGTCGTATAAGCACTCCTTCGAGAGAAACACCGGTCAGGGAATTTGAAACAAGTAATTCGGTAGGCACATTCAAGCAAATTCTGATGTTGTGCACTGCACGTCACAGTTAGCACAGACAAGCAATGGGCTGTCTTTTTCTTTGTTTCAATTATGTAACTGATACGTGCCATCAGAATTGCTAGTGTGGGGGAAAGTGCTAATTTTGAGCTCCAGCTTAAAGTACTATTCGGGGCGCATCAATATTCTGTATGAGCAAAATGCAATGAAAAAGTGCTAATTTCGTGTTCGCACTAGCAGTGTCATGCAGTGTGCATGGGGCAGGCCGGGCAAAATGAATCGGCACAACCTATGTCGGTAGTCATTAACAAAAGGGTGACATATCATTTAATCTGGTCAGAACACTCATATATTCACCCATGTCTATTTGTAGTGGTGGTAGGCTTTCATATCTCCCGTGATCATTGCACCAGGGTAACGGACTTGGTTATGATTTTCATATTTTCCCCATTTACAGAAGCAGTCAGACTGATAAAAAGCCTGAGTGGTGCAACGCTTGAAGAAATTGAAGCAGGAGCCAAGGGTTGGCTGAAGAACTGCCGAGCATGCGTAAATAGCGCCACAAAAAGGTATGGTACTTAAGCATTATTTCATCTAAACATTTTCGCTTTTCCTGCTGACTGAGAAGTGGCAAATTGAAAACATACTTAAAAGTCACTTAATAATACAAGCCTTGTATAATTATGACTATGAAGCTTAATGTATAGCACTGACTGAAATTTCGGATACCGTACACCTCGTTGCTCAAATTTTCGGAAGTTTTTTTTCCCATTTATACTTACAAACAGTCGCCGTATGCTTCATTGCAAGCATTTTGGTTGTTTGGTCTCGTAGCCTCGAATCCCCGTCTTACGCATGAAAAAGCTAGATTGGGCCACGGTCAGATATTCCAGTTCCACTATATCCAGCATAGCCGCCATCTGGGGGCCATACTTCTGTATCTTCTCGTGTTTGCATTTCCCTACCGCGACCAGGAGAAGAACTACTGTCCACCATTCTTCCCGTGTTCTTCGAGCGAGTATATTTGGCAGATAGGTGCTGCAGTAAAGCGAGCTTGGTCAGCTGAATGTAGCCTCCAAATCATACCAGCTTTATCTTTACTGTATGCGGCAGCAATGGCCTCAGCAACGCTTGGCACTGCGATCATCCAAACATGTGGAAAGCGACCAGTATGAAGTGGAAGTTGCATGAGAACTTAATATTGGCATCAAACAAGTGGAAAGTGGACAATACCATGCAGAGGTTGCATGGAATTTTTTCATTTAAGTTAAAGACCGACGACCAGTTCGCGCTTTCCACTTTTCGCCCGCTTCCTCCTCTCCCTCCTACCCTTTCCACCCATGCCCGCCCCTCTTGGTCCCTTCTTTCCATCCTTCGCTTCCCTCGCCCGAAGGCGTGGAGAGGAGGGTCTTCTGCCTTGCAGAATCTCGAGTCTGGTTGTCGGCCTTTAAAATAGCTTTTTTAGACTGCTTTTTCGGGTTGCCTTCGAGTCTGGAAAATTGGTCGGCATTTGCATTTAAACATCATAGAGTCACTTTGTTGGCATACTATTGCAAATAATTGCTTTGTAGATTGCTCCTTGTTTTTTTTACCTTGTTTTGCAAAAAACAAAGTACTAGTTCATGTTGGTCTTGTGGTGTACTTTGGCTAGCAGGTGTACTTTGGCTAGCAGAATCATTCTCAAATCTTAAAAGTAGTTTTCTGGACTTCTCTTCTATAGCAAACTTCAGTCATTTTTGGGCTGCTTTGAAATTTCGCAGGAAACTTCTAGCAGTGTCATACAAAATTTGTTTCTGAAATTAGCTTTATATCCGAAATATCTTGAAAATTCCTGATAGGCAGCAAAACATGGGGTATTTACAATGGGCACATTATGGGTACATTATATAATGCATGCTTAGACACTTGATACCTTTATAAAACTGGGAACAATAGGGAATATTAAACTCATGAAAATTTACTTTTCGTTTCATTGCAGGAAGCTTCCACGAGTCTGAGAGTTAAGAAACTTCCATGAGTCAGCTGGAAACTTCCACAAGTCATCTGGATTGCAAGCCATTATTTCATTTCTTATTGTTCTAAAACTAATAAGCAGTGCATTGAAAGCTTCAATTATATTTACGTACGTATTTTACTAATAAACATGTTTTTACAGTTCTTGAACAGGAGAAAAATCATTTGCTTACTGGTGCGCAGCTATGGCTGTGTCACTTGAGAGCTTGCGATTGACAGGTGTTCAATATGTGGTGTACTTACAGACATGCAATAGCTATGCTTTGCTATGTTAACCATGTCATTTTATTCACACCAGCTTGGTGCAAAGGCCTATTTTTGCAACAGCGCTCGACTATATTGCAAAGACTTGACTCAAGAGACTGAAAGCCGCTAAGGCAACTAATTAGTGTTGCAATTCTTGATTGCCATGGTAAGTCATGGTTGTATCTTGACGTTAGCCCTCTCACATAGTCAGTCGCTGCAGTACGAATCGGCTTAGTACTCGTCCTTACCACTATATAAGGAGTTTAGCTATTCAAAGCCTTATGGCTTTTTGGGATTAAAATATCCAGGCCGTAACTAGGTGTCGTGTAATAGTTTTCAAGTCGTCTATGGTAGATCTTGCAAGACATCTTGCAGCCCAAGGGCTGGGCGTTATGCCGGCTAGAAGACGGCTACAGGACGTTTCAAGACGTCCGGGCTATATAATATCTTGCCAAGATGTCCACAAAACGTCTTGTAGACCTTGCCAAGACAAATTTTAAGACATTTTTTTTGTGTAGGCCAGAATGATGGTGCATAAGCTGGGAAAAGGATGGCTAAAAGACATCTTATATGCCTTTTTAAGATGTTAAATACACCTATCTAGAGGTGCTGTAGTCGTCTTCAAGAGTTCTTCAAGACATCTTGCAAGACGTCTTGTAGCCCAAGAAAGACTGGGCATTATCCCGACTAGAAGACGGCTACAAGACGTCTTGGGATATATAACGTCTTGCCAGGATGTCTACAAAACGTCTCGTAGACCTTGCCAAGACAAATTTTAAGACATTTTGTTTTGTAAGCCAAAATAATGGTGCATGAGCTAAGAAAAAGATGGCTAAAAGACATCTTATATCCCTTTTTAAGATGTTAAATAGACCTATCTAGAGGTCCTGTAGTCGTCTTCAAGAGTTCTTCAAGACATCTTGCATGACGTCTTGTAGCCCAAGAAAGACGGGGCGTTAGCCCGACTAGAAGACGGCTACAAGACGTTTCAAGACGTCTTGGGCTATATAACGTCTTGTCAGGATGTCTACAAGACGTTTTGTACATCTTGCCAAGACGTCTTTTAGCCGTCTTGTAGCCATCTTTGCGTTCAGTGGGCTTAATTCATCACCAACGTGAACAATCAAACCTACACCATTTCCAGGTTTACCCCGCAAGGCACACCGGATTGCCGCCAAGCTGCCGCACGATAGCTCTTTTCTTTCTTTTTTTTCTTTTTTTGTTTCACGAACAACCTGCAGCGATTGACGTCGATTTCAACCAACTCGCCTTGCTCCGCAGCAGATCTTCCGATTACAAGCGCATCACGCCGACGCTGCCCTCCACGATGGATATATGCATAACAGAGGATCATGACAACATCTACAAAATGTGCGAGGGTGCAAGGATTTTGAGCTCGGGAGTGTAAGCAAATACTTTGGCGGCAAAGACCGGTAAGGAGAGCCTCCCCGACTCGACCGGATGGGGGCTCGACTTCGACCCCCGATGCTGGATCCCGGCGTGGAAACGAGAAAGAAGGACCCCAAGAAACACGATGTGACAGGAACAAGCCAGGCGTGTGGATCAAAATAAAATACGTTTGAAAGAAGCCTGAAAAACGGACGCGAATATAGCCCTTTTGTATCAAATTATTTCACAAAAATTTCATTTAAATCGTTTTGCGGTCTACAAAACCGTTCATTCCGTTATAACACTTTAAAAACACAGGCGAGCTGGTGAAGAACTTCCATAGTAACGGGAGACACGAAACGATAAAAATAACGCACAAGACAACAAGTCTCAAACACAGGTTTTATACCCGTTTTCACATCAAGAACTCCAGTAAAAAGAGTCCGACTCCTTGCGAACCATTACTAATTTCCACCTTTATGTGGAGAATTAAGATATATGTAGCTGGATTCTACTATATATATGTTATCAAGACGTACACGTTCCAGTGCCAAAATCATCGCTTTTTTCTCCGACAACCAAATCTCGTAAGACTTCGCGTCGCGTATACGAACATCTTTGTTTCATGTATGTGCTCTCCCCCTCTGTAATGCCTTCGGGCCCTGAGGGTACTTTGATAAATAAATAAAAAAATAAACAGTTTATTTGAATAAGGAATTAACGCTCTTATATATACGTCAAGGCCCTCACAACCAAAAAAGAACTCTTTAAAAAAAAGGGTATCACCATACACCCTTTTGTCCCATATAACGCACCCCAAAACTTTAGTTTGACGCACAGCGCACAGACGGCGACACGTTTTACAAGGGGCTTGATAACGGAGCGATATAACTGATTAAATAGCTAAAGTACGTATCAAAGACCACAGAAAGAAAACACTGATGTTTCGCAGCCCCGATTATTATTATTATTATTTTTTGTAGTCAGTAAAACATACATTAGCTATTTTAATAAGTTGTACCACACGGCTATCAAGCCTCTCGTGAAAGTTAGTACCGTCAGATCGACGTCTGAAGTTTTGGGGTGTCTTATATGGGACAAAAGGTGTAAGAATACACCCTTTTTTTAGAGTGTAGGTCACTGAAAGCCGGAGATTCAGACAGATCCAAAAGATTCATGGTCACACTAACCTGCCACCCAGACGACCCCGCTTGATGACTGACCAGCCATATATGCGATAACAGGCAACTCCATCAGAACCCTTACTAATATATGATACACGCGTGACGAGATGTCCCTACAGCGTGCAATTTGCCAAAACGTGCGTCCGTGAAACGTGTGCCCATGAAATGTTGTCTGCGATAATTAATTCCACGAAACGAGTTTCGACGAAATGAGAGGGTCCCTACACCACTCCTGCCTGAAAAGTTACATCTGGGTTCTTATGTTTTTTTTCTGGCACCCCTGAAGACCACCAGAAAGGGGGTTGACCTTTCTAATTTGTGCTGAGCTTTGAAAACTAAATTTACACCGATCGCCACTGATATAAAGTTATGAGAGATTCCATGGTAGTAAGGCACACACACGACATTCTTCACAGCCGGTTTTTCCACGGGAGCCGGATTAAACCTTCAGCACCTTGAGCACAACTCTGACAATTACATCATTGTGATGGCCCGCTTCCAAACGACGCATCTTTTGCAACTCAACTACCTCACCAACCCAAAACATACGGGATTCTTTACAAGCGTTATCCATCGCAGACGCAATTACACCACTCTTAACTATTTTCAAGTGACAACTCTCAGCTGCCAACAGAGGCTTGGCTGATTCCTTGCCGTACATCCAGCACAGGCCCTTTTCCGTGTGCAACAGTAGGTCTATAAGTATTTAATTTGACTGTTGCGATGGCAGGGTTTTGCGGTCCAATCGACAAGGACCGCACAACCGTGTCAACGTGTACATAAGTCTCGTTTAAAAAAAATCTCGGACAACACTGGAGCAATTCACGACCCGATACACACACCCTGTTTTTGAATAAAAAGAGAACCATCAAAGTCTACGGCAGTGGACTCTAAATGAAACTCCAGAATGCTGATAAAACTATCTACATCAATCCCATTGGCAGACTGCAGCTTCACTAGATTATCATCACACCACCTCCTGACCCTTATTAGCAGCTCCGACTTATCCATAGAGTAACGTAAGTCCTTGATGTCTACAGTTGTCACATCGCACCTTCTCCCATGATGCGGATTCAATATTTCAATCAATTGCTCAGAGTTTTTGAGTGACAATGGGCTGTTGCTCCACTCCTGTCAGGCATTTCTAGATAAAAACCGACAACACCTTCTGCCAAACTCAATTTTCGTTCACAACCATTTGAACAATCCCATCCTGGTGTAATTGTTCAAATGGTTGTGAACGAAAATTGAGTTTGGCAGAAGGTGTCGGTTTTTATCTAGGTGTAAGGAACGTACGTTTAATCCGGCTCCTGTGGAAAAAACCGGTTGTAAGGAATGTTGTGTGTGTGCCTTACTACCTTGGAATCTCTCATAACTTTATATCAATGGCAGAGAGGTTCGGTGTAAATTTAGTTTTTAAAGCTCAGCACAAATTAGAAAGGTTAACCTCCTTTTCGGAGTAGTCCTCAGGGGTGCCAGAATAAAACACGTGCACAACACGTGCCGGAACTATTGATGGCGTCCGCCTCAATTATCTCTCTAACAGTCTTATCTGTGTGCCTAGCGAGAACAGTGGAGGAAGCAAATAATGGTTTGCACCTGCAGTCATGCGTGGTTTCAATTGACTTTGCAGAAAAAGAGATAGCTTATTTGCAGTCCGCGGCGGGGCCACGGATTGGTTGCGATGTGGTGTGGTGACGCAGTGTGTATCTACGCTGAGGCGCTTGGATTAAATCAGCTGAAAGTAAGCGCTCTGTGGTGTTCTTCCTCTGTCTATGTCTTAAAGCGCAATCATGTTTTCTCACGCACAATACACACTCGCCCAACAATCAGCAATGGTAGGAGAGTTCTGAGAGAGACCATGCGTATTTTGACCTCTGGTAATTGAGCAAGCACACCGTCCTTGGCATTGGACAGTCATATGAAGCGTTTTTTGTGTCTGTTTTCTCAGAATTGTAAGGGTTGTGCTGGAGCTGGAGTTGCCTGTTATCGCATGTGGCTGGTCAGCCCTCAAGCGAGGTCATCAGGGTGGTGTAAATCATTTAGATATGTCTGAATCATGAATCATATGGGTTCTGTCTGAGTGTCCGGCTCTCGGTGACCTAGTGAAGGGGAGGTGTCTCTTTTTTGGTGGTGAGGGTTTTGAGGGATATGTAACAACGTTCGTTGTTCAAATAAACTACAGACGGTGTTTGAGACTTGTTGTTTTGTCCGTTTTTTTTTTTTGTCCTGTGTCTCCGTTATTTATGGAACTTCTACATCTATTGATATATTTACAGGAGTAAAAATGAAAGGCAAAACAATCTATTCATTTTTTATGCATAATATAGTACGTAAACCCCATATAGAAGCAGCAAAAAAAAAAAAAAAAAACACCAATACCCCTTCTTTCTACAAAAAAAAAAAGATGGCGGCGCCGGCGGCGCGCCGGATTTATTGTGCGGCGGCGGCGGCGGCGGCGTGCTGGATCTGGGGAACCCGGCGGCGGCGCAGGGCGGCGAGAGCAAAACAGGCGGCGGCGGCGGCGCGGCGCGGCGGCGCACAGGTCTAGCTACGCTTTACACACGCGCGAAATTACAGCCGCCATTACTGACCTTCTCTTGTCTTACCGAGATGCCGAGCAACTAAAACGGTATAGTTGACGATCCTTCACAAATGCCGATGCTTTAGAAAAGGACACAGTTGAATCTAATATGGCAATAACCTGGCCTGCTATGGTAATGATGAAGTGAAATAAACGGAATAAGAGGAAACAAAAACTGAAGGTCAGTTATGGCGGCGTCCATGCACAGCTGCTGCAAAGCGTCTATATAGCTCCTTCGGAGCAGAGTAGCGCACGGCTCTGGAGTAGCGTAGAGTAACTGTATATGCCTATAACTGTATATGCCTATAAGTAAATAATCATATTAAAGCTTGACGAACGCGCATGCAAGGCAAAATTTGTTTTAGGCTTGTGCTTTAGAACAGTTACTACTGCAGACACCAGCACGTGCAGCGCGTGTAACTATGCATATACGTTGCCAAAAGTACAGGGTGTCACAAAAGAAAATTTACACGGTCTTTTTTACCGCAAAAATAAATTAGGCATCTCCGAACGCTCATTCTCCGCCCAAAGGTAGAGCTAGAGGTCACAACCAGATGCCAAAGTTTCAGCCCGATCCGATAGCTTAATCAAAAGTTATAAGTGATTTTCTGAAAATTTCAATGGGAAAATGGCGGCCGACGGAGTTTTCAAACACGTGGGGCTCTATGGCACCAGAAACCGAAAACGGGCAAAAATGGGCTCCATTTTCCCATTGAAATTTTCAGAAAATCACTTTAACTTTTGATTAAATGAACGGATCGGGCTGAAACTTTGGCATCTGGGCCCGTTTGCTCGAAGCTGGTTAACGGAGCAGAGTAGCGCAATCCTTTGAACTCCGTGTTTTGCCGACAACATGGCCGACAGAGCGGCTCGGCGCGAGTCACGTGGTACTCAGGGTTCCAAGAGGCGGCCCGCCCTATGGGAGAATACATGGAGATCGACATAACACGGCTGATTAAAAAACTAACGGCGAGTTCACATTTTTCAAAACTAGCCTGTCGTGAAGTTAGTAAAGCGCTAAACACTTCATCAAAGTTTTAATAATATCGGATGCGTGTGCAAATTTTGAGAAGGCAATTTCCAAGGCAATGGCGTTTGAAGCAGACGATTTTCGCTCGCAGCGGAGATGGGCTTTTCGGGTTGGCCGGAGCGGGTCACGTGAATGGTGTGACGTCGCCGTGTCGTCTGCTGCATGATTCCGCTCAGGCAATTTTTAAAAAAAAGTTACGTCCTTGTATGGCACAAAACTTATCGCATATTATTCTAAACTGTTTCATTATTATGTCAAAAATTATTTCCATTCCGCACATCCCCACAAAACTGAAGAAACAACGATTTTCTCACGTTCTCCGTGCATTTCTGACCGCAGTTGGAACTAGAGCACTATATAGCTCCTTCGGAGCAGAGTAGCGCAATCTAGAACGCCGCCTCTCGGCGACTAGTGGCGAACACCCGGAGGTTCCAACTGCGGTCAGAAATGCATGGAGAACGTGAGAAAATCGTTATTTCTTCAGTATTGTGGGGATGTACGGAATGGCAATCATTTTTGACATAATAATGGAACATTTTAGAATAATTTGCGCTAAGTTTCGTGCCCCGCAAGGACGTGACTTTTTTTTAAAAATTGCCTGAGCGGCATCATGCAGCAGACGACACGGCGACGTCACACCATTCACGTGACCCGCTCCGGCCAACCCGAAAAGCCCATCTCCGCTGAGAGCAAAAATCGTCTGCTTCAAACGCCATGGCTTTGGAAATTGCCTTCTCAAAATTTGTACACGCATCCGATATTATTAAAACTTTGATAAAATGTTTAGTGCTTTACTACCTTCACGACACACTAGTTTTGAAAAGTGTGAACTCGCCGTTCATTTTTTAATCAGCCGTGTTGTGTCGATCTCCATGTATTCTCCCATAGGGCTGGCCGCCTCCTGGAACCCTGAGTACCACGTGACTCGCGCCGAGCTGCTCTGTCGGCCATGTTGTCGGCAAAACACGGGGTTCAAAGGATTGCGCTACTCTGCTCCGTAGGAGCTATATAGTGCTCTAGGTTAACTAACCGCGGTTAACTGGATTTCCCTACGAGGGGGAATTTTAGGTCACGTGACCTGCAGAGTAGGGACGCCGGAGTAAAATAGTACCTAGCATCAGACAATATGTCCAATATGGCTGCTACGGCCGCTCGTCACGCTTGGGAACATTTATTTTTACGAAGATGCGTCATCCTCGTGTCACGAAAATGACATTTCAACACAAAGTCTACTGTCGGAGTTGACGGCGAGCATGCTGTGGGAGCAGGGCCACGCCTGACTGGTTTCGTCGAGTTTGAATAACATCACGCACCGCCCTCTGAAGAGTCAGCGGGATCTTCAAAACGTATATCCTAGGTAAGTGCCGCGATGTTTCACGAGAAAGTTATGAGATTGTACCGCTATCAAAATTTCATGTCAGCAGAACTTGCGTTGTAATCAACGTCCAGCTTTCTTTTCTTTTTTTCACTTTTAAAACCTACCTCGAGCCCCAATCGCATGTTAGTGCAACAAATCTCTCTCCGAAAAACGGCCTCTAATCGCGGAGTCTGGTTTATAGTACAGTTCGTCGTGTTTTGTATTTGCAGCGCATCCACAACACCGACGACCCCCTTTAGCGACGGTTCAACGAAGGCAAGATGCAAACTAAAAACTTCCCTCAGAAGCAAAGATCCGTTACCTCAACAGAAGCTGCCGGCACGGATGCCGGCACGGCATTCGATCGAACTTCGGTACTGTCGTCTGCGAACTTGTACAACTGGAAAATAAACAAAGCTTCTATCGGAAAAGAAGTGTGCATATTTTCTCTTGCGCTTGTCTTTCTTCAATTTATTTTGTTTCAGATAACTAGATGTCTTATTAGGATTATAAAGAGAGACATAATTACGTAGCAGACGATCACAACCAATCTGAAATCTAAAATGAGTCAGGCGAATGCAAGCATCACCATGAAACGGCAGAGGAATTGGTCATTGGATGAACAATTAGAACTAATTCGGGCAGTGGGGGAGAGGAAACATCAAATTATGGGCAAGTTCAGTGCTACGGTGACGAAATTTACAGAGCCATGGGCTGTTTGCGCACCCCAGACCAGCTACAACAGTGCTGGAGAAACCTCCTAGAAAAGACTAGACAACTCTACAGCTTATTCAAGAAGCATGAACAGCGCACCGGTAAGTTCATTGTGTTCTTAAGTTCAAAAGATATTGCATTGCTTTAGTGATAATACATGAGCAACCAAACCTAGAAACGTGAATGTGGACATTTGTATATTCGTTCACCTTTGCCCTCTGCTGGGAGTCGACTTTTCACCTTCCTTGAACAGCAGCAAAAGCAGTGTTACAGCATCAGAAAACAATTTATTCCAGTTTATGTACAAGTTCTGCACAGGCTGTATGGAACTTGTAAAACAGTTTAGTGGAAGACCCAAAACTTCGGACAAAATATTAAAACAGATTATAAGAGAGCACAATGGTAGAGGCCGACAGGCCAAACTGTAAGAAAGTAAAAATTGCACGATTACACAGTCCACAGTTTCAGCAGTGTTATCTAGCAGTTAATGAATGTTTAAAAGAATGTCTCATGCAGTATTTGTTTATTTTAATTTTCCCATGAAAGTTCCATTTACATACTTGGTTGAACAGTGAACCCCACCTCCTCTGTTTTTGCTCGTAACTCGAGTAAGTAAGAGTCGAGACGAAATTACTACGCCTTAATTCATAGGTGCTGGGCCAAACCCCCACGTCCTGACGCCCCTCGTCGAGGCCGTCCTCGAAGTGATCGGCGAGGACTCGCCCAACCTGTGCGGGTTGGAGGCCACCATAGGTGACACGGAAGAGTAGGTGACTGGTTTCTAGACCCGATTGTGTGAAGAGTAAATGATTTTAAGGAACCGGTCACAGTAATGCAGAACTGTCGTTCCAGGCGAGGTTCTAAAAGACGAGGACAAATGATGATAAGAAGATGGGCATGTTGCCATTTGAATGGCATTACTGCCGAGTACTTTTATATAAAGACCAGAGGCCGGATGCCCGAAACTTTCTTACAACAAAGTTACAAACTTTTGAGTATTCCCGAAGCAAAATGTTTGTAAGTTTTGCGCAAGTTCTGACGAAATCCGTAGCTTGCGCAAAACTTACGATCTTTGTGCTTCGGGAATACTTAAAAGTTCGTAAATTTGTCATAAGATAAATCTACTAACTTTTTTGTCGTAAGAAAGTTCCGGGAATCTGGCTTCAGTTCTATTTCAACAACAAAAGCTCAAAGGCGGTTCGAAATATAAGTCACGAAACCGTCTTCCAGAGTGCACTCTAAGATCTGACGAGGCACCAGCGCTACCACATTTCTAATTATTTTCAACAAGGCTGAAACAGTTTCACCGAAGCTACAAATTCATGCAATAACACGGCATGCAATGAGAAATCAGGTGGTAAAGCTGTTTATTACCATCTTATAGAAATTAAATGCAACAAAGTGGCAATGGCTTTTCTTTAATGCTAACTGTAGCACGCTTTCGATATGCAAATTAAAAGATCACACACAGTACAACCATCCTGTTGCTTGTTTTACCAACTTAGGAAAATTGGCTCAAACATTAACTTCATTCTGGTCAAGAAGTTAACTACCCCCATGATGGTAACCTGTGTGAGTGAAATCAATACCAGTGAAGCTATGTGCTGTAATGTTTGAAGTTGTCCTATAAATGTGCAGTGCACTGTGGTTTGACTGGACATGTGACCACTAAATTTATGAACTGTTAATCGCATAGCTACACAGCTGCATTCTAACCTTTAGAATGCAGCTGTGTGCTCTTCACAACCAAATGCACATTTTCCTACACCATGTACTGGGCAATTGTGCAAGAAGTAACAACACTGCGCTCCGACCTCAAGCCTGTGCGTCAGTGTATAAACCAACTTGGCTCACAAACTTTGTCCTCTGTACCAACCCGTATGAATGAATTTTGGCGCAGCATCGGTGTCTTTATCAGGGTTACAAACTTTGCACAGTGTGTTCTCTTTGCCCATGCTGACAAGAACAAAACCTGACCACTTTTTACACATGAATTTGTCGCAGTGACAGCTCCAGGGGAATAGATCCACAGCCTGGTCCCTCTGGGAGCGGAGCAAGTGCGGCAGTGCTGCACGAGAGTCGGCCGCTGGAGGCGGTGCAGCGGGCTCCAACAAATGTGCCATACAGCCGACGTTGGTGCCGGGAGGCTTCACAGCGCTTCTTGCAGGAGACAGAAAGGCAGCAGCAGCTCGAGGGAGCTAATCTCCTGCTGGAGAAGGAGAGCACAGAAATGGTTAAGCAAGCTGCCACGGCAACAATTGCAGCAGCAACTGCTGCCGAGGAGTTCTACCAGCAGTCAAAAAAATTACTAGAGGACCAAAAAAATTTAATTCAACTGGAAACACAGCGTGCAGAATTGGAAATCAAATTGCTAAAAAAACAATTAGGAGAAGAGTAAACATTGACATATTACGCTGTTTTTAATTTTCATTTTGAATGTATATATATATGACAAAGCCAACACAGCTGCTGATAAATAAAATCCATTTTACTTGCAACTGTATATTTCTAGATTCAGATCTGCTATACTCTGTCTCGTCCTACGATGGACTAAAGCCCAATGCTACACGCCGCCGGGTCCAATCACGAGCCTGTTTGAAACCATGTGGTATATTTGCTCCGTCAAACATATCGGTGCGCCGAAACGTGTCATGCGAAGACAAGTTTTTCATCTGCTTATCGAGAACTAACGGCGGCTCCGCCTGCTTGCAGGGTTTTTGCTCTAGTTCCTTGTCACAGCACGAATAGTTGCGACGCTCAAGAAATCTTGACTGCTGATCCATCTCCGTGTGCTCTGTCCGTACCGCCGTCAGCCTCGTATGCGCCTCAGTTGCCGCTAAGACTAAAAGCCTGCCTTGCATGTACTCATCGGAAGATCGTCTGGCTAATTTTATCATTTGCCTAATTTATCTTCGTATCTCCCTGAACCATAGCCTATGGTATTCGTGTTCCCGCTGCGCCGGGGTAATCGGCAGCAGTAGTCAAGCGTAATATGTGGGGACGGCGTGGGCGAAAATTCCACTCTCTTCCAACCTAACGCAGAAACAACATTTGGTATTCCAATGTTTGACCAATTAAAAACAAGCAGAATGCACTGGTACTCAAGACCATGCAAAGCAGCATGTGCAATATATTGGTATACTTACGCTCAACCGAAGAACTGGCTGACGATGGCATCCCGAGCCTCGTTGCTTTCATCACGGCCCGCTGCCACGGGCTCGACGGGAACCTCTTCGGGGAGGACAGTCCTTGGCATGCTGCAGGGGTATGTCTTGGCCAGGTTGTGCAGGACACAGCAGGCAGCAGTGATGTTGCAGCATCTCTCTGGCTGCATCCTCAACTCAGCATGGAGGCAATGAAATCTCCGCTTGAGCTGGCCTATTGTCCTGCACAGTGTATAAATAGAGCAAGATCTGTTATCCTTTTGAAGTGGTTTATAAGAACATCTAATGAGATCGGCATGCAATGTCTATCATCGCTCCAGCCCATCGAAAACATGGTATTATGCCTAATAGTTAATATTTTTGTTGGAATATTTTAACATAGTAATGAAATGCAGATTTTGTTAAAGATTTCAGTGATGTGATTGGTCTGAGTCATTTTGGAGCAGCCCTTGGAGCAGACAAAAGTCAATTATGGTGCAACAAAAAGAACTTTTGTAGCATAAGCGCACATTCATTTTTATTGATACCAATGCAAACATCACGTCAAGATTAATTTTTCGGCCTGTCCAACTAAAGGGCAAAGTCTACGTTGCCTTCTCACATACGTTCAAACCTTTGTTAGCATCAACTGCGCAGCAAGAGTTCCTCAAACACAAAACTATAGCGTTCAGTTGCGTGGAGAAGCACCATGACAGGGTAACAAGAAGGTGAGTGATGAAGGACAGCACAAACTCCTTTAAATGGTTATTTTAGGTACTGAATGCCACTAAATTAGTACAATAACATTGGTGACATAAACTGATGTTTCCTTCAAGTTCTAGAGGTTGTAATAAAACTGCAATTTATAAATGAGATAAAAAAACAAAGCAATTATCATTTGATTATCAACATAAATTACATTTTATCTGTAGAACTTCAGAGCAAAAACGGCATGTGAACGAAACTTAAAAACAAACCCGCCGAACTCATTCAGGCTCTTCCTGAGATTTCATCCACTGCTCCTGTCAATTTAGTTCTAATTTACTCGCACCTACAGAAAATTGATAGCTAAACAAATGAGTTGGCATAAATAAATAAACATGCATAAGAGCATATATAAATGCTCTTGCAATACCAAAGTACCCTTACTAAATCTCGAAATTGGAAAGGGTGCCGCCGGGATCTTGTAATCCATCATATTTACGAGCCGAAGTTGTGTTCAGGAATTGTGTTGAGTCTCACTTTGGAGGAGAGCTTTCTCCTTAACACAGGGTCCGCTGCAGAGAAGCAAGACATACAAAGTTGCGATGCCTACTCCGTGGTGTTTGCTTCTTTGCAGTACACCGGTGCGTGGTGAAAAGCGCATTCAACGACACTATAGTCCGTTGCAACCTAAGAACGAAGGGCAAGGGTAAGACGGGTTGGGGAGGAGGAAGCAGGCGGAACGCTAAAGAGAGAAGGAGGTTTCCCCCTCTCTTCTCTAGCGTTCCGTCTGCTTCCTCCTCCCCGGCCTGTCTTACCCTCGCCCTTCGTTCTTAGGTTGCAACGGACTATAGCTAACCCTCCAGAATGAACAGATGACTAACATAAAAATTATTGCGAAACTTCCAGATATTGCCTGTCATTCATACGAAATGTGATGGAATGGTATCGTATACGAGACTATAATCAAAAGTTTTGAAAACCTGAAAACTTGCGTAAGCATATCGTGACGGTCCGGCCGGGCAGCGAAGCCCGAGCTATTATATTTTCAGTATTATTAAAATGAAAATAAGTTTTGGTGCTACGTTGGTGCAAATTTCTCACATTTTTGTTAAATGTAGCAGGACGTAGCAGGGTAATCACTTTGGCGCAAATGGCGCAGCAATCCTATCACAGATATAATGAAAATGTTCTTCGCAAAAACTTGCAAGGAAAATTGCAGTTTGAGATAAGCAGTATTTAATAAGATATGCTTGAATAAGTCTGTACACAAACTGTCTAAAAACAAAACCTGCCTAAGCCAGTGTTTTTTTTTCACATTGCAAGCTGTTTTTTTTTTCTAAGAATTGCTTTACATTTAGGCAATATAGAGTAACAAAAAAAATTAACTGCTATTGTTTGAAATGTGTAAACAGCTAGTAAAAACCTGTAGGTTAATAAACCCAGTCATACAGGAAGGATATGTTTCAGAGAAGTTCTAACTTCTATTCTGGAGTTTATACAGAAAAGAGCAAATGAAATATAACAATTATTGTGACATATAGAGTTAACTGGCTAATGGTTGAATTTTGTGAATTGATGTTCTTCATTCCCACAATGCTGGCTAACCTTAGAATAAACATTTCAGGCTATGGCAGTAGGTTATAGCCCGTAGTATAAATAAGGTATAGTAGAGATACGCCTTCCTCTCCTTGCTTCTGAGCAGCCGTAGCCTACTATGCAAGAACATAAAAATGGCAACAAATGTAAAGCTCAGGCACAACCACATAAAAAAGGTTAGGTGCCTCAAGGTACCGAAACACTGAACCGTCGAACCAGGACGCATAGCCTGGCTTTACCGTTCCACGATGCTCCTCATTGTGCTATGTGACGCATTGTAGGCGACCTCCGCTGCTGATGACGGAGACAGGAAGGGCGTCATCAGCCATGGCTTGCAGGTGTAGCCGCTGTCTCCAAGCAGTAGGCCCTCGTAAACGCCATCGGCCAGCTTGCCTGACAACGAGCCCTCGGTGAATATCCTAGAGTCGTGGGTGCTTCCAGGCCATTTTGCAACCACATTGCGGATACGGTAAAAGACGTCAACCACTAACTGTACATTTATTGAATGGTACAGATGGCGGTTAACGTACACCTCCTCATGCACTTGTGGTGCCTGTATCCGAATGTGAGTGCCATCAACAGCACCCACGACCGAAGGAAACCCACCGATCTCAAAGAAGGCCTGTTGTAAGGCATGACCCTCAGCTTCACCTGGCCACCTGCATTGTAGATGGATTTGAGTGAGTCTGTAGCACTATGACATTAACAGTGACAGTTTTGTTGTTATGATCACATGCTTCAAAATAACACAGCTATCATTCATTGTCATCAATAGTGAGCAATAAAAGCCTCGTCTGCACAATGACAGTACTCAGTAGCCGCAAGACTAGCTCAGTAGCAACAAGTGCATAGTTGGGAGTGCAGAAACCAGGCTGTTTGTAAATGTCTGCACTCCTACTTTATTTGTAGATTAGTTGAATTTGCACCTGCACCAATAATAGGTACTAAGGGAGTCATTTTGTACACTCCAGTTGGTTCGTGTAATTTTACTGCCCAGTTCACTGGTCTGCATGTCACGCTCATTACCAAAAAACAAATATCGAGTGCTGAAGCAACACTTCTAATGATCCTTTAGGGAGGTACCAGTATACGTGGGGATCGATGCGCTGGCAGATATTCAGGCTAGCAAGCCTACAGCTTAGGAAACAAAAACGAAAGGGTCATTGCGCAGGTGGTGCGCCGTAAATAAATTGCAGAATAGGTGTGCGGAGAAGACCACCTTTAACGAATTCGGGGGTTTCAGCGAACACAATTCACGCACCGAAATTTCTATACAAAGGGTTTCTGAAATAATGGTGATTGCTCATCGAGCAATCTAGGCCCAGGCTTTTTTTCTCGGAAAACTGGCCTGCACATGCGCCTAATATCGGGACGCACCAGAGATGCTCCAGACCACTTACCCTATGAAGTCTTGGGCACGACGTGCCAAGGCCTGAGTCACCCGCCTCACAGTCCGCGAAGCAGTGGAGACGTGCACACGGATGTAGTCCCCTGCGGTGATGAGGAAGTTCCCCGTGGCGTAGAACTGTAAGGCGACAATGACCTGCTGCTCTGCAGAAAGGGCGCGGCTGCGACGCGTCGGCCGCTCCAAGTCCGGGCGCAGTGTGTCGGCGAGGAACACAATGCCCGCGCGACCGAATCGAAAGCGCTCCTGCAGTTCGTCCTCATCGAACTCCTCCAAAGGGTTCAAGCGGTCACGGAACACACGCTGCCGTCCCATCATCACAACAGCGTACTGGGCGAACACGCGCTCTCTTCGATGTCGGCGTCGCGTCACAGTCGACATTGCGTCCCTTATCTTCACCAATCCGTCCGCAAATCAGTTGTCAGTCAGTCCGGTAGTCAGTCGGCGAGCGAGTCGGAGGGTCGGTTGGGCAAACGGCAGGAGAAGACAAACAGTGAAAATCAGGTGATAACTAAAGCGCGGGAAACGTGCGTCGCAAAACACGGAGAACAAAACAACCAAAAACAACGAATCTATAAAGACCGTTGCCAGACCCGAAATCAACGCTGCAAACTTATGCTGTGTTTTAAAGTACATATATATTTTCATGCATAAAAAGAAACATTGTGATACGATGTTGTTTTTATTTTTCTTAATAAAGACAAAACTAGCAAAAAACGTTTCTTAAAAGGCTATTGTTTGCTTCGACCGGAAGGTGGCGGGAGCTACCGCATAATAATAAAACACGGAGAAATTGTGCGTTGAGTTTTTGTCGAACGCGGCTAGGTACTCGCATGTACCTAGGTAGGGAAACGCGGTTAACTTTTAACCGCGGTTAGAGTTAACCAGCTTCGAGCAAACGGGCCCTGTGACCTCTAGCTCTACCTTTGGGCGGAGAATGAGCGTTCGGCGATGCCTAGTTTCTTTTTGCGGTGAAAAAGACCGTGTAAATTTTCTTTTGTGACACCCTGTACTATAAAAAAAAAAAAAAAAAAAAAAAAAATCGGCAAGGAAGTCTCCTGCACCACTCAATGCTGACTAATAGCGAGTTCGTTTCACGGCACTCGTGCCCACGCGTGCCCACTCGCAGCGTGGAACGGGTTCGTTTCGGCCGGCACTCCACGAGTGGTTGCACTCTCCGAGTTCGTTTCAGCGCTGACACCCCACGCGTGCATGCACTCGCTGCACCGAGAAAATCGGGAGTGCGCCAAAATGCAATCCCGTCATGCCTTGCTCCGGCGGGGCCGGCGAGGAGCGGGAGCAGACGACGAGGGTTCGTCTGCTACAATGTGTCGCGGAACCGAACGGAAAAAAAGTAGATTTTCTGATAGAAATCGCGTCCCACGGGCCACGAAATCAAACGCGAGCTTGAATTGTGAGCGTTTGCTATTTCCCGAAGGAAGCAATTGACAACCCGTGATTTATTTGCAGGTTTTAAATCGCTTTGTTGCCGCACAGACGCTGAAATATACCAATGTGTAAAGGAATGCTCAGAACAAACGTAAAAGCGGCCCCCGAGATATCTATCACCATCCGTGTGCGGGTGAAAAATTTAACATTTGTCGACAAAACTCTCTCAGCAGAAACCTCTGACTGCCCAATAAGCATCAGAGAAAGCTAAAGATGGTAACTTTACCCGAGGATTGGGCAACATCATCATGCAGCTAACTTGCCCCGTCGTGTTTTGTTCGAGAATGCTCTCGTTCTCGACGCCCTCACCGAGGCATTATAGGTGAATCATCTGATCCACCTATAATGACGATCCAAATCGAAAGTCCCAGTTTTGCTGGATATTCCAACAGGCTAGTTTTAAGCCGCACCCTTTCAGCGGTTCACGCATAATACCATGCTCAAACGGATCATGCTTGTGCTCGGACAGCATCATCAGTTTTCTTCAGTGTAAACGGTTATAACAATTGAAAGATCGGAACCAGCTGCTTTGTAGACAGCTGGTTGCGGAAATTTACGCCGTCTGTAACTATCTCTACGGCAGCCGAGCTGCTTGAAGTCATCGCAACTATAAACTACAGGTTGCAGCGACCAACGTTTGTAGATAAACGTTGGTAGCGACTGCATTCACGCATTCCCACGCATCACTCCGATCAGAAAGGCGCTAGTTTCGGTTTGAAGTCGGTACCTTTTCTACAACATAGATGGCGGCAGCATCAGTCTTCCGCACTCGGTGCATTTGGCGAGTTCGTTTGAGTCCAGTTTTCCGTGCAACACGCAACACCCTGTGAGTGCGATGCATTCTGGGAGAGAACTCGAACGGTGCCAGTGCGTGTGAAACGAACTCGCTATAACGCGCCCTACGACTCGCTCGCAGGGGCACCGCCGTGTTTCTCTAGAGCACTATATAGCTCCTACGGAGCAGAGTAGCGCAATCCTTTGAACCCCGTGTTTTGCCGACAACATGGCCGACAGAGCGGCTCGGCGCGAGTCACGTGGTACTCAGGGTTCCAGGAGGCGGCCCGCCCTATGGGAGAATACATGGAGATCGACATAACACGGCTGATTAAAAAACTAACGACGAGTTCACATTTTCCAAAACTAGCCTGTCGTGAAGTTAGTAAAGCGCTAAACACTTTATCAAAGTTTTAATAATATCGGATGCGTGTGCAAATTTTGAGAAGGCAATTTCCAAGGCAATGGCGTTTGAAGCAGACGATGTTTGCTCGCAGCGGAGATGGGCTTTTCGGGTTGGCCGGAGCGGGTCACGTGAATGGTGTGACGTCGCCGTGTCGTCTGCTGCATGATGCCGCTCAGGCAATTTTTTAAAAAAAGTTACATCCTTGTACGGCATAAAACTTATCGCACATTATTCTAAAATGTTTCATTATTATGTCAAAAATGATTTCCATTCCGCACATCCCCACGAAACTGAAGAAACAACGATTTTCTCACGTTTTCCATGCATTTCTCACCGCAGTTGGAACCTCCGGGCGTTCGCCGCTAGTCGCCGAGAGGCGGCGTTCTAGATTGCGCTACTCTACTCTATGGCTGTGTTCCAAAATTTACTCGATCCGACTCCGGAGTAAAAGTTTCGTACCGTGGCGTTCCAAAACTCACTCGAGCTTACTCGATGACGTCAGAACTCGCGTTCCAGAAGCGGGTTGTTTACTCCGGAGTAATTACTCGCGCTACCCTCCTCGATCGGGGGGTAAAGTCGGATCAAATCGAGTAAATACGTCACGTGATCTGTTCGTCGTCTGCTTTCTGCGCCGACAGCCGTCAAAGCTCGCTTGCTCCGTTGGTTTTGGTGGCGGACGTTCGAAATGACAAAGAATTAGGTGCAGCATGTGTGGTTATTGCGATTTGCTATTGTCAACGCAGGAATTGACTGCATTACATCCAGACCGTCCACCTTCCCGGGAACGTGTACTTGTTATTATCTGAGTGCGAGCGTAAACAGGAGCTTCTCCGCATCCTCGTCCTCGGCGTTGGGGGAATGCCGTATTCTCACGTTCAAGGCCGAAAATGTTTGAACTCGGTATATGATAATGTAGTATTTTTGTTTCCTCCAGAGTGTGTGTAATGAGAGGATAACGTTTGTAAAGCAGTGAAGGCTTTGAAAATTTCACTGTAATCACATTCGCGTCAAAGCGAACGTGAGTTTCATATGATTCTGGAGAAAGCACCCTCGCGCTGTACCGCTACACCGTGTGGAATATATTTCCGCAAAACATAATCGGTGCAAATTACAATGCGTGGAATATATGCGTTTAGGGCACCGTGACTAGAATTGCAGCGATCGCGCTGATTAATAAAAACACATTTTTTTATGTCTAGCTGTAAGGAGTAAGTAATGTTGATCTCAATATGCAGCTCAAAACGAAGGTGAGTAAAAGGGGCTGGTGGATTCACCTCAAAATACACCGCGTTGTCATTAACATTACCGTTCTTCGGGTGCTTTCTCCATGATCAAAAGGATCGTCTGCTATTTTCTGCCATCGCTGCTGTGTTTTCGTTTTGCCGTCGCCCAAGACGAAGCCAATCCGCGTAGAATCCAGGTGATTATCCTGGCCGTTTCAAAATCGAGTCGCGGATCGTTTACTCGCGATGTCACGTGGTATTACCCGCTGACGTAGGAGGCAGGTTACTCGGGTAAGATTTGGAACATAGCCTATGTTTCTCCACCGTCCTTACCCTGCCGGTCACGTGACCTAAAATTCCCCCTCATGGGAAATTCGGTTAACTTTTTACCGCGGTGAAAGCAAAGTTAACCGGCTTCGAGCAAACAGGCCCTGGTGCGGGAGTGAAATTTGAGCGACCAGCAGGACATGTTCGTGTGCGCCCGCAAGCAGTCTAATCATTGACAGGATGTTGGTGTGTTACTCTATTTCGCCCTGGAGTTTTTTCAACGCTGCTAATGCAGAATGTGAGCTCGGCATTGGCATTGTTTGCAGATATCGCTATGGTGCTCACTCTGGTGCGAGCAGTTTCTCGTTTGATGAATGTTCGAAAGTAATGATAGCTATCGAACCTTTGCGCTTATATTCGAGACTACTGTCCTGTGTCTGATGGGTTGCTAACTTTAAGAACGATAAATAGAAAGTAAGCTATGTCGCTATCTACCTCCTCTATTCATGCCCCATATGCTATTTTCAGGCCCTCTTTGAACCCAGTGCATTCGAGGAGAGGAGCGCTGACGTGTGGCGAAAGCTCAAGCCGACTGCAGCCCAAACTTTGTTTTCCTTTTGTCGTAAGTATGCGTACTGCCATAAGTATTGCCGGCTCTGGCAGTGCAAGTTCTAGACACAGGGTTTCTTTAAATGTTTAGAAAAAAGAAATTTGCCATGTTTCTGGGTTGGGGGAGGAATCTTTTGGGGGTGAGGAATCTCGGGATAGGGTGACCACCCTATCGCAACTCGCGGGACTGTCCCGCATCCCGCAAGAAATACCGAAATATGTCCCGCATTTCATATTGTCGTAGCATTTACTACGCAAATTATGGCGCTTCCGAAAAACAGGCCACGGGTTAGCGCGGAGGTCGCTGAGAAATGTGTGAATCTCAATGGTATGCCACTTTCTATACAAGCACTACGGGAAGCGTCCATTGTTCATGTAGGAGAGAGATGTGCCTCTCCCCTTGATAGCAAAATATTGCGAGTGAGAATTGATCGCCAAAAGTTGAAAAATAAACTATTGTAATTTGAAAATCATATTGTGTCATGCGAAAGGGTTGTTGTGGAAAGCTTTCTTTAGTGAAGACGGCCGAAAAAGATTTACTGTTTCTTATTTCTCTTCCACGCATTAGGGTATGCTGCAGTCTATTTTTATGTTCTCAACTAGGTCACCCATAATAAAATATTTACCATTACAATTACACAAAAGAGATATCACTTGGAGTGAAAATTATTTTTGCTTAATTGCCGCCACCATACAATTTTTGCGTGTATAATTAGCTTTCAGACAGCATAGGATATCGGGGTGTGCGTGATGGTGAATCTTTTAATACCTTTTTCTTGAGTCGTGAAAATACCATCCTCCTCCTACTCCCCCTCCCCCCGGTCAGGGTGTCCCGCATTTCGCCTGCAGGGAGGTGGTCACCATATCTCGGGATATCATTAGATATAAA